ACAAGTCTAAACACAACAAAGAACATGACATTGGCCGGCGACAGCTTACAATGACACTACTGGCGTGACCTTGAGTATAAAAGGGGCATTTGTATAACACATCATTCACTTCTTTTCTGAAGGAAAACATGAAGCATGGCGAGTAGACAGTTTCTAATTACCCCTCTTAGGGATTCATGATTACACGCATAACCTGATATGTTCATTTTCGAATGGGAACTGGCACTGCATCCCCTACAGCAGTGAATCTCAACCTTTTGGTGTACCGGACCCCGGTCCAATTCAGAACCATCCTCAAGGATCCCCAGAACAAAATTGACTCATCTATGAATCATTTGTGTCTTTGTGAGGACCAAATGCAGTAAAGTATAATTCAAGTTAGTTGACTTGTCCAGTATTTGGTCATATCATCAGCTATATTGGATTTTTCTTTCATGGGAACATGTCATGTCAAAATATACAACATTTATACAAAACTTCATACTTTATACGGACCCCCTGGCCTTACGTCAAGGACCACTAGGGGTCCACGGACCCCTGGTTGAGAAACACTGCCCTACAGCATGCTATGGGGAACAAAATACCCACTCTGCTATGATAAAGGTATGAGTGTCTTATTGACTGACATAGGTGTGTCCAAACTTGGTCCTGGAGGGCCATTGTCCTGCAGAGTTTAGCTCAAACCAGCTCCAACACACCTGCCTGAAAGTTTTTTGTATGCCTAGTGAGACCTTGATTCACTGGTTTAGGTGAGTTTAATTGGTGTTGGAGCTAAACTTTGCAGGACAGCGGCCCTCCAGTACCGAGTTTAGAGACCTCTAGACCTACATTAAATTCAAGTCCTCTAAATAAGTTCCCGTCCCTAAGGTGTACACCAATGCTAAAAACTGGAACCGATAAAGTCCTGGCTTAACCCTTCTAAAAAAAGGCATAACCATAGGCAGAGCTCATGGCTTGGTATTCCTGAGAATACCTTTAAGGGAATAATATCACTGATAGGAGATCTGAGAACAGAAGCCTCAGCAGGATAAATCGCTTAAGCCAGAGGAGGCCTAAGTTCTATGGTCAGGACATCTTCCAAGGAGGCTCACAGAAAGCCTAGTGACCTGGAGTTGCTATTCAGGCAGAGGTCTTATCTTTGTCAACCTGGCAACCATGTGCACGCGCTCTCTCTCTCCAATGTGGATAAACGCGCTTGCTTTCTGAAAACACCGGTTAGCTTGCAGTTTAACGATCTCCACTTCAATATCCTATTATCAGAAGTGTAATTCATCAAGTGTTCATTTATGAGAGAGAGAGAGAGAGAGAGAGAGAGAGCGAGAGAGGCTGTGTGTGTATGAATTACCACCGTTATATAAATTAAATATATATATAAATATAAATTTATTAGAACGAGTACATTATTATTTATGGGCTTAAAAACAAGATGCAAACAATCAGAATATTGTACCTGGTGGGGAGTGCACAATGTAAACATGAAACATATGCCATTACCTATGGCTAGAGGGCTAGAGTGAGTTTAGTTTCGCTTTCACAACGAAACACAGCATCTTCACGACATGGCGGCAACAACAACAATATTACAGCGAGAATAAAAGTTACGCCTTCTTTCTTTGCGTGAACATTTGGGCGGCGTTATGCAAATCTTCCCCCATCGTGACGTAGACATGTGGGGGCGTGTTAGAACGAGTCGTTTTAGGTAGGTGTGGCTGACTCTTAACTTTTATAAAGAATATCTCTTTGGATTCGAGACTTTAGTCTTTGCAACTTTGCAGATCTTCTTTATGCACCAAGAGCTTGTAACACTCCAAAGAGAAAGGAAAACTTGAAATTGCATCATATGACCTCT